CCCAAAAGAGATGTACGAAGCTAGAGAGGTGGAGAGTGCAGCAGAGTTACAAGGTCTGCGGAGCGACGGCAGGCTGAGAGAAAGGTCCGGAAGCTGGATGACCCGGGAGCGGGACTGAACATGAGAAGGTGGGGATGGGATCCGGGGACCAAAATAAGGGGTTAAAATTGTTTTATTTTTAAAAAACTAAGTTGATTTTGGTTTTAGTGGAGGGGGAGTGTATTAGGTTGAAATATTGAAGTAGATTATTAAACTGGGAAAGGAGGAGGCGAAAAAAAAAAGAAGCTAAAAGGTTGATGGGGTTGAAAGATGTTCTCCATGTTTTAAATATTAAACCTATTTCAAGTTTAATGAAGTGCAAATACTATTGGGAGGTTCGTAACCGGAATATTAAAAGGCAGAGGTCGGATGGGGCCCGTTTTCATTATTTCAAGCGCTCACCTTTAGCCTGCCGAGACTCTGTTCTGGGACAGTGACAGATGGGGCGGAGCCTCGGAGATTAGCCAATGGCGTGAGGCGAGTGTAAAAGGGGCGGGGATCCCCGTGGCCCATCGGCCAGATGTTGGTTAGCAAAGAGGAAGGAGGAGCCGGGGAAGGGGAACGAGAAGAGACGGCTCGGAAAGTCCGGCTGTTTGCCACGGGAGCTTCCCATGAGCAGCCCAAGTCGCCATTACGGCGCCAACTTACGCACACACTCTGGTTAAAATAATCCAACTTTCGGTTATCCATAACCCCTCCCCCCTCTGCTCAACCCAGTGCAAAAAAAAATGTGTATGTGTCAGTCTGATTAAACATAAAAGCTGTGGCGGGCACTTTGAAAAGGCCACGGAGTTGGAGATGGCGTTGGAGGAAATTTCACAGTGAGCGGCTGGGAAAGCCCGCGCCGATGAGATAACGCTCCCTGTGCGCGCGGGCTAACGCTGTCCATCTCGAGATCAGTTGCAGAAAAGCCCCTGTGAAACCAGAAAGGTCAAAGAGTGGGTTTCGCCCGGCGCTGTCGCGGTGTGACGGGGGTAAATGTGACTGAACGCGCCCCCAGTGCTTGGGAGCATGTTCCAGGAAGCAGGGGGGATGAGAGACACCCTGGATGGGATGCTGGTCCATCACAGGGAACGCAGACACAATCACAGACACAATCACAGACCCCCGTCCACCTACACTGTGTTTCTTTAGACTGTGAGAAGAAATTCAGGTAAGCAGACGGAGAACCTCCACACTGACTGGCCTAGGGGCGGCATTCGGGTTTATTTACATTTACGGAGCAGCTATTATACGCTTCTATAGTCTAGCTTTTATTTCCTTTCTTGGTATTTCCTTATGGGAGGGACAGGAGGTCGTCCACCTGCAGGGGTGTGGGTTCGATTCCCGCCCCCAGCTCTGTCTGTGGAGTTTGCATGTTCTTCCTGTGTCGTAGGTTTCCTTCCACAGTTCAAACATGGTGCCCTTGGTGAGTGATCATGTGAGTGCGTGTGATTGGGTGTTTGTGTGTGTGTGTATGAGTGTGTGTGTGTGTGTGTAAGGTTTCCTCCTGCTTATACTCTGCACTTTCCTGAACTGACTCCAAGTGTCTCTGTGATCCTGCACTAGATAAATGTTTATAAAAGATGGGTAGATGGATATTTTGTCTCATGTGATAATTTTCTTTCATGCTGAAAAACCATTAAGAACCTTAAAACAGACCCGAATGTCAAATTGAGCTTTAAAGTTTACGGCGTGTGACAAATGTTGTTAGGAGCGTTACTAAAAACACAGAATGTGGAAACAGATCCCCCCCGACCCTCACGGTGACCTGCCGCTTCCCATGCTACTCTGATGAAGACTGATCACAAAATCAGCCAATAGGGAAAGAGCTGGACAAAGGTCATTTGGCAGCCATGTGGCTGACCCCAGTACGTTCATCACATCGGCCCGGTCCAGCCCTTACAGAGAAAGACTGAACATGGATCCCTACTGCTTTTGCATTTATGGCCAAGTGTTTGTGATGTTATCCCACTAATGGCCAATGACAGGCTGTGGCTGTGTGTCACACACGCATACACACATGTGCACACACATGCTCGCACACATACACACGCGTACACACATGTGCACACACATGCTCGCACACATACACACGCGTACACACATGTGCACACACATGCTCGCACACATACACACGCATGCACATGCACACACACATGTGCACACACACATGTGCACATACACACACATGTACATGCACGCATGCACACACACACACACACACATGCACGCATGCACACGCACACACACGCACATGCACGCATACACACACACACACGCACACATGCGCACACACACACACATGCACGCATGCACACACACACGCCCACTGCTCCTCTCCATCTCCCGGTCTGCCCACGTCCCAAGTGCACAGTGGATTGAAATTACTCAGATGAGAGAGTCCAGTCAGCCAACACCCCTTGCTAGGAAAATCTCTTATCTATTTAGTCACTCATGCAGTTTTTTTTTGTTCCTGTCCTTAATCTACTTTTCCTGAAGAAATTATCCTGAAAACAGATGCCTGTGACAACAGAGAATACTATATGGTGCAGATTTACGCTCCAGCTGATCTATAAATACTACATAGTAATACTAATACTACTGTTTCATTACGTAATACATTACGATATTATATAACACATTACTCTGCTGCCCTGCTGACTTCTCTGCATCCAAATTGGCATGTTTTACTGGCGCGGTAATCTTTCAAAATCTAGCTGATGGGTAGGATAGCATGCCCCCCCCCCCCCCCCGGGACCCATGCGACAAGTGGTGTCATTAACAACTACCCCACCTGCTGGCCAAACAATCCAACACATTAAGGGGAGAGAGGGAGCAAGTACCTGGGTTGCACAGATGTTCACTGGACTCTCAGTTCTGCCTGTGTGTTTTGGTACTGGTGTTACTAGCTGGAACCAGATTCTACAATCCTCTGAGGCTGGTGATTCGTGGGAAAATCATGCCATGCAGGTGAGAAACCTACCAATGCTTATGTCATTAATTATTTAGCAGACGATTTGTCTGAAACGACATACTGCGAGAATCAGAGAGCAAGGCCAGCCAAGAACCTTATATGATTACTATGGGACTTGAACCCACAGCCTTCCAAATATGGTCACATGTGACAAATCTGCTCAGACACACCTCACAGCCACAAATTGTTACCTGCTGTGTCGTTTCGCGGAATATCTGTACGCTTCGGATCTCACAAACCAAAATTCCAAACCTCAGAAACACAAGAGCTGATAACAGTGTGGATTCTTACAGTTCACTAACTTGGCACCCTTTTCTCAAAATGAACCCAAAAGGTCAGTTTATCTGGATCTGCCCATTTCACAGGCAGAGTGCCGGATTTCGTTACGCGGACACGCCTCTTCGTTAATGATGTGGACCGAACGCATGAAAAAATGAGGCAGCTCCTCTCTCCGCAGAAGAACGAGCATCTCCTACCATCTCGGCAGGAGGGAGACTGTGATCCAGCAACATGCTCATCCAGCGATTCAAGAAATAAGACCTACACGCAGGGCGGGTCAACAAACGAGCGCTCGACTCGAGAGGCACGCTAACACCATTACATCGCGACCTAAAGGGACGCGAATGGAAAAATGAATGAACAGGAAGGACGCCAGCTGGGATTACAAAGCCCCCGATTAATAATCCGAGGTTTATTTTCAATAACGAGCATCTCCTTCCTTGCGGGTGGTGATGAGGTGACTCGCTTCGCGCCCTTGTCTAGATAACAGGTCAGACACGCATGTTTATGGGTTCGGGACTCGGTTGAAGGTGAGGGAAAGTGCAAAAGGTCCCAGGGGGTCTTGCTGTCGTGTCGAGGGGAAAAAACCCCATTTTAATTGGGACTCACCGGTGGTCTTTTTGCGTCTGCCTGTAGCCGACTGTGGGACCTGTGCGCCTGATTCAGAGTGACTTGCGACTGCAATATAATGCTCAGTGCCCCCCCATCCCCCAGTCAGGTTTACTGGACGACTTTCCGAACACCTCCTGACACTTAACGGCTGAGCTTCTGTAATCTACGCAACAACCGAGGTCAATTTAATTATCCTGTTTTCTTAAAGAGCCTGTGCCAATTTCTCAGCCTACCCTCTTAATGCCCGGGAGATTATCATTGTCTCAGATTTAATGATCTACCTCCTGGTCCCAGCAACCACTTCCTATAGCCGTCGGGCTGCTCTCTGTGTTTACGCCCAGTGACATTCCTCCATAGCAAACCCATCCGATACCCCATCGGTGCGGGAATAAGAGGGTTTGAGTGGGTAAGCAGACAGATTCCAACTGCCCCGCCTTGCACGCAACAATAGGATCAAGTGGCTGTCTCTCCCCCCCCCCCCCCCGCCCACATCCGAGGTGCTCCCATTAAACCGTGACTACAATCCAAGCCACCCTAAGAGCCCATTAGCAAGGGGGCCACCAACCCCCCGTCCCACCCCCCTGTTGGCTCCTACCAGACACACCTGCGATTACACGCTCCTAGAGAAAAGAAACCAACCAAACAAAATGGAACCCTTTGTGATTTTCCCGGTGGAGATTTTGGAAGATATTCTTGGGCCGTGAACCACTCCCCCCCCCCCCAACAACACCCTTTGGTGGTCTACAGTCGATGTTTTAAAAAAAAAAAAAAACCACAGTTCCCTGCTCCATACAGCTCGCAAGCCAGTGCCTAGCAGAACGGCCTCACCTTCACCTCGCAAAATCGTTTCATAGTTGCCGCCTACAGAGCACAGGCATGTATGTCTCCTCCTGATCTTTCTGTCGTCATATTGTCATCGCTTCCTGAAGTCCTTGTCTGAGCCACGTTTGCCACCGCTCGGTGTCACCGGGCTGCACCTCTCGCCACACCCCCGAACGTGTCGGTAGGCCCCCGAATGTGACGTTGGTCTAATCGATCCAAACAGAACCAAGGTGCACCAGAAATGACTCCACCCACACTGCTTCGGCATAATCAGACGAACACGGACTCCTACCTGAGATGTCCTGATTGCCGTAGTTCCAGCCAGGCCCCGCGAGGACGGCGGGCAGCGGGGAACCTGCCCGGCTGTCTCCCTCCGCCTGCGGCGTGATGTGCCGTACAGTGTCTTTGTTTTTGCGGTTCTTGCGCCGACCTGATCCAGAAGGTTGCCAGCTGTCCCCATTGGCCTGTTCCGCCAGGCTCCCCTGGCCACCGGCAGCCGGACCCTCCTTAAAGTTCGACGGGGAGACCTGCTCCTCCTTGATCTGGACGGGGTGAAACTCGGGCGGCCACTGGGGCGGCGCCGAGGTGTCCTCCTGGCTCTCATGGCTTTTGGGCTCCTGGTCCTCCTTGCCATAGGTGCTGCCGCCATCGTGGCAGCTGGCGATGGCAGAGTCACCTGAGGAATTGGCTGGGCTGGTGCGGCGCGCCAGCCAGGGGGAGGAGCTGCGGGCTGACATCATGGAGGCTAGAGCTTCTGCCCCTCCTCCGGCTGCCCCGCCCACCGCCGCCACGCCCATCTCAAAGTCGGCCAGCTCTTCGGCCAGCTCGGAACGGATGCTGATGTCCAGCGCGGCCTTGATGAAGTTGTGGCACGCCTGCACGATGTCGGTCATCTGCAGGTAGCTGGCGGCCGACATCACCTCGATGACGTTCTTGCTGGTGAGTGCCAGGTGGGCGGAGTACATGAAGTCCAGGATGGTCTTGAAGCCCTGTGCCGTGACGATGTCCAGGTGCGTGACGGTGGCCTGCTGCTCCGGGCCCTTCTTCACCTGGCAGTAGAGTGTCTTGAAGTAGCGGCTGCTGCCCAGCAGCACGTTCTTGTGCGCCTTGAAGATCTTGCCCTCCACCACGATGCAGACGTCGCACAGGACGCCGTGCTGCCGCTGCTCGTTGAGCTCCCGCAGGAGCTGCCGGTAGTGGGACGTGATCTCCATGTCTTCCTTCCTGTTATTCATTTGACAATCTGGTGGGTCCTTATCCTGGTGAGATGCTGCGAAGATAAACAGATCGACGTTAGTGGGGTGCGCTCCAGGCGGTCACAGCAACTTGGCTGATCTGCTCCAGCTGAAGGGCGTAGGTTTGGTTTCAACATTTGTATGGAACCTGAATCCCCCCGCCCTCCTAAAAGCACACGGTACCCCTACAACACTAATATGGACATGTCCCTACCATCCATACCCAAAAATATGCTCATGCTTGAGCATTTAAGAGCAGGATGGTCACGGGCCTCATCTCATCACCAAGCTCTGAAAGGTTTACTCCGTCTCATCACCGACATCAGTCGTTGACACTCGCCAGTGGATACAGCTAGGTGACGATACAATTCCCCAAATGGGTTCCGTTTTGGGATATTTCGCTGCTCTCTAGAGGATATTCTACCTTTCCCTTGGTAAGCAACCATCGGGACCGGCTTGGGGACCTCATTTCCATTCGATTGCTTCACGAACTGACGTGCGATAATTAAATACAACTGTTTAACGGGGAAAGAGAGCGTCACTGGATTTGCTGAAGAGTCTCCGTGGGCTGATTTGGTTCCACGTGAAATAAGTTAACAGGATTCGCTGGTCGCGTGGCGGGGCCGTGGATCGTGTAAGATAAACAGACAGGAAAATTACTACGCACTTTGGAGAAACTGTTTGAGAGCCTGCGACGAACCACGGGTCAGATTTTACGTGCCACTGGCCAACAGGCAGTGACACTGTCATGGCAACACGTCGCATAATTTGATGGAGTAACAAAACGCACGTCCCGGAGGATCCGGAGGCTGCAAGAGGGCCTCGTTGTAGACGGTGTGTCCGTCGGGCCGGGTCGTTAAGAGAAGCCCCCCCCGCCCAGCTCCGTTTTTTTCCATGGCACGCAGACGGCTGTCAGGTCCGGCTGCGGCTAACAGAAGGAGACAGGCCGCGTTCGCAGTGGTGACAGAGCCATTTGCTGCGGGCTGAGCTCACATCAGCTCATGTTTATAAAAGTTCCCCTGAACCTGATGGCTTGTAAGATCAAATAAATCCAGCAGCCCTCCCGTGTCAGCCTGGGCAAACACACCTTTCTCGGAAGACAAAAGAAACAATAACGCGGCGAGTCGAGAATTTAAAAACGGGGGAGCTTAACCGCGGCTGTCGGAGCTGTTTATCGCTGAGTTTTCGGCACTTTACTGGTAATCGGTGAGAGCTTTTGCCAGCTGCTCGCACGGCGACGTCCCTCCGTCAGAGTAATTACGCAAAAACCCGTCGGCGCCTCGTTCGACGGATAACAAACCGTACATGTTTCGGGGAGTTAATTGTTCATCCCCTGTTAATTGCTCCTTTTCTGTTACAAAGATGCATGAGAAGTCCGAACCCGTTTCAAAAACAGTTTACCGCCAGGGGCTTTCTTGTTTTGTGTGTGTGGGGGGAGGAGGGTCTTAGGGCTTAAGGTCAGAGAAACATGCGTCACACATAGAACAGGCCACGAACAAACACAACTGAAAAAAGAAACGTGTAACTGTGAAATAAAGAACGGGGACTGGAGCTTGATTTTTTGCAGGACTAGAGCTAAAAAAAAATTAAGTGTGAAAATAAGGATACTTAAGGGATCAGGTTACCACCCAAGCTCAGTCAAGCCTAAAGATTGCTTGTTTAGTTAGTTGGTTTAGTTATTCACTCGCCTGTGACCTGTCACTGCCCCCCCCCAGCCTCTCTAAGCACAAGCCCTGTAAAAACAGCAGGGACAACAAGGGGGGGGAGATACATGGCACACCCTAGCATGGCTGCAATGCTCTAACCCCCCTACCCATCCTAGAACCCAGGCCCACCTGGGCCACTACATACAGGGAAGATAGGATCCACCGCTGGTCGGGGGGGGGGTTAGGGAAGTAGATGAGCCTTTTATTTTGGTGACACCACTCCCACTCCATGCTGCCCTTTTCCCCAATTTCTGTTTGTTCTCGCTGTACCCCATCAGCCGCGCTCCCGAAACTGGCGCGACGGCCGCTCACCCGCGCTCACGCCGAGCCGCTTGTGGTGTGGCTAGAGCATGGGGGTGGGCTTCTCTCCCCCTTTTCCCTGTCGTTCAACGCGGGGGGCGATAACATCTCGACCCGGATGATCCAGCTATATGGGGGAGGCTTAGGAAGGAGGGGGTGCTGGGTCAGAATGCCCAGGCAGCCGGCGGGTTTTGAAACGCGCCCCGTTGTGCCAGCCGGCAAAGCCGAGTTAATCCGCCGTACGGTACCGCCCGTGGCCCCGCGCCAGTCGAGGTGGTAGAGACTCAGGCAGGGAAAAAAAAGCAAAACACGAACACAAAAACACGAAGAGGCTGCGGAGCAAGAAGCGAAAACTGAAATCACCGAAAGGCCGTTCCTCTCCTGCCTTTCCCTTTTCTCCTTTGTTAGGGGACGTTTCCAGTCCATCCCCCCCCCCCCCCCCAGCCCCCCCTCATGGCGCGAGCCCAGGTGGAGGCCGCTGCCCACGCACGCCGGCGGGGGGTAAAGGGTCGAGCGCTCTGGCTGCTCAAACCCGTCCCCGAGTCGCAGCCAGTCCCTGCGTCACCGACATGACTCTCAGCCCTTTCTCCCCTCCCCCCCCCCACTGAGAGGGGTGGGGGTGTCTGGACAAAGGACCACGTCGCCCAGGCCGGGCCGGGCCTGCGGTTCCCGTCACAAACAGCCTCACCTTGGGCTCTGGCCTCACGCTGCCCTTTAATCTGCTTCTCCAGAGATGAATCTAATCGTAATTATAAATCAGAATAAAATACGAGCCTATAATCTACCGAGCACAGGAGGTCCTTGGGAATATCAGCTAAAGTGTCTTTAGCTTATTCATGAACACTCTCCATGGCCAGACCAAGGGGGAAGGTTCACGCAGCACCAGCTAACTGGGAACCAGCCACTACTCATAACTTTCTCCACTCTGGGGTTTCAGTTTCCGTTATGCCTCCTCCCTCACCANGTGTAGAGTGTAGAGTGTAGAGTGTAGAGTGTAGAGTTGCTGCTTCAGTCATGGTGATGGGCTTAATCCCAGTAACTGAGTGCAAGGAACTTTGAGACAGTTAAGTTTCTTTGGTTAGTCTTTACTCATTTTGGGTTATTTTTCTGTGTTTTTTTTTTTGGATTTTCTTTAATTACATTTAGTTGTCTGGGGTCCATTAGCACTTGATTGGGGAATTTAATGGACAATAAAGCAGGTGCATTCTGTCTTGTCATATTACATATGCATCCCTTTCTGTAAAGTGCCCTGGGTGACTATTTTGGGCCCGAAGCTTTATAAAAATGAAAATGAATTACATTGAATTGGATTGAATTGAACTGACACACACGTTCATACGAGTTGATATACGGAAAGATGGACAGAATAACGCAAATGGCACACGAACCAGCACTAAGAATTTCTAGTGACTAAACCACAATTACAAGCGCAGGTACAAAGATGAGTCATATTAAGGTGACTGCCAGGGTATGTCAGCTATAGAGGAGGCCTGACAATCAGCAGCTGGAGTTTTCAAGGCGGCGTGTGCGACTGGCAGCTCCAAAGAGGTAGTAGGTGCATCGGTCACAAAAACAAAAAAGATTTAACGCGTCAAGAGGAACAGTCTGACAGATCATGACGAGGTGTGCCGGAACCACATCGGCAGGTGGAACGAGTGGTCAAACGGGGACAGACGAGCACTTAAAAGCTCATGGACACACCAGAAGTATGTCGTAACATTCTCATAATGTGCCACAGAACTGAATCTGTAATTCTGTGACCCAGTCTCAACAAAGACTGTATGTTATGAGCCTTGGAGACCCCTAATTTGCACATCACTTGAATCCATTTGTTAAATCACAAAAGATGGATATCCTGGTGTAACAAGGATAGAAACGTGGAGCCCTGGACCATGTGATAAGTCACCTTTGACACTTATTCCTACTTCCAGATAGACTTTCATTTGAAGCCAAGATACTCAGATTCAAGAGAGGGTTCATGGACATGAACATGAAGAGGAGGTCGAACGCCTTTCTCTGCCACATGTAAACATCACAGAGCCTTTATGGTAAAGTCTGGAGCACAGAGTGTGAAGTACCTCTCCTGGTTCTTCAGCCCCATAAGAACAGAAAGCTGTTATTCTTGAATGGCAGCTTTCAGAGGAGGACAGAAGCGATTCTGAAGGTGACACGAAGCCCAGGTCCGTATCTGAGGCAACGGCTCCACAGAGGCAGCGGTGATAACACTTCCTCTATTTTTGAGATTAAATTTCGAAGCACGTAACTTTGAAGTTACTCATTAGTGTAATTTGTTGTTACTTAAAATTTTCTCTCTTTCTTGGAAAAATGTACTGTTGTGATACCGTGTGTATTATCTTCTTACTTCCTCAAATTCTTCTGGATGCGTTTAGGTGTTTGTCCATATATAAAGCGTATAAAGATTTACTGTTTGTACACTTAAGTATAACAGTAAAGCTTTTACTCGCGGGCTGCCTGTGAAATCTCCCTGCCTAAAATTCCCTAACAAAAGCACAGCGTCCCCTTGTTGTGTCTGGTTGGACGGGGCTGTTTAAAAACACCACTTCTCCTCTCCGGGCGCCCTGCGGGGGGGAAGTGAGAGGAGTGTGTGTGTTTGTGGGGGGGGGGGGGGGGGGGGGGGCTTCCTGTTGAGAAAATGCTCCCTCTTCCCCACAAACGCGCACAGCCCCAAACATCAGGGGGGGGGGGGCACGCAGATCTGCGTTCAAGTGTCACGATGTCAGGAGAATGGACTTCGTTCAGCCAATCAGGGAGGCCCGCGTGCTGGAAATGGCCGAATGTGTTACAAGTCACAGTTAGTCCATTTTTGCAGCTTCAGTGTCTAATTCCCACTGTTCACCGGACGCCCTCCTCAATTAAACAGCAAAACATGACGGCTTATGCTGCCCACTGCCTCACCCAAAGGGCTGACATCACCAGCACTCTGCAAATGTGACTGCAGGTAATTGATCAACCCTGAGATATCTAAGACGGCATTATTAATTTCCTCACAACACAACAACACATCTCTG